GGAACTACAATAATGTACAGTATTTGAAAAATAATGTGTTTTTTGAACATTAAAGCATGTCAACATATTCTGTTACACCAAATACACAAAATAATGATCTTTAAAGTAGCTTCATATGACCCCTTTAAACTTTTGTCCATTAAAATATCGGAAATTATGTGACTGTAAATAAAGCGAATCTAGCTCAAGTAGCATACCCAAATGCATGTTAAAGTCGTAGCACATGCGGAGATGGAGTCTTTTTACATTGGATATTATTAAAGAGATAGTTCACCCAGAAATTAAAATTCTGTCAATATTTACTCATCCTCATGTCGTTCCAAACCCGTAAGACCTTCGTTCATCTTCGGAACACAAATTAAGGTATTTTTGATGAAATCTGAGAGCTTTCTGACCCTCCCATAGACAGCAGCGCAACTGGCAACGGCAAGTTTCTAGGCTCAGAAACAGTCCATGAAAATACTCCATGTGAGATAAGTGGCTCAACCATAATTTTATGAAGCTACGAGAACACGTTTTTGTGCGCAAAGAAAACAAAAATAATGACTTTATTCAACAATTCTTCTCTTCCGTGGCCCCGTTGGCTGCCATTATCGACAGTACCACAACGCATGCGTGTACATGAAGTTATTTTTGTTTTCTTTGCGCACAAACATTATTCTCGTAGCTTTGTAAAATTAAGGTTGGACTATTATTATTAACACATGGACTATTTTAACAATGTCCTTACTACATTTTTGGGCCTGGGATCATTTCAGTTCCATTGCTGTCTATGGAGGGTCAGAAAGCTCTCGGAATTCATCAAAAAATATCTTAATTTGTGTTCTGAAGATGAACGAATGGTTTGGAACGACATGAGCTTGAGTAGTTAATGACAGAACTTTCATTTTTGGGTGAACTATTTCTTTAATTATTAGCTTTATCAACTTAAAAACCCCCCACAGTTCCCTCACAAACCCCTACGGGTACACAGCCATTGTTTTGGGAAACCCTGCCTTAGAGTATCATGTGTATTTTTATATAGACAAATGAAAAACTCTCTTTCCTGTACATCTTGTGTTTGAAATCAGGAGGAGGCTGGGATTGAAACCGATGAGGACCATAAAGTGGCAATGCCCAACATCTGATGGAGGACTCACTGATTAAATTCAGATGCCGCCAACATCGTTGCTGGGACACCAGACCTTTGGAAAGTAATGTAGAGGATTCTGGGACACTGAGAGAACTGTTTTGTTAAAACCCAATCCTATTTATAAAAGTTCTGTTGAGAAAGAAAGAACAAACAAGCTGTAAATAAGTTTGAACATTGTTTATTTTTCAATTTAAAAAATTATACTGATACAAAAATATTTCCACCAGATTCTTCCGTTGAAGTCAGAAATGCAGAAGCACAGAGTCTAGTATAGTAGTTCAGCATGACGTAGCCTCGTTTCTGTGAGCTGGCATTCGCTCCACTGTATGGCTTAACTTGTAAAGACGTCCCTTATTCCAGCACAGGTCAAACAGTTGATTGTACAATCATGTTATTTCAAAAAAAAAGATCTCAATACCTAAAAATCTGTGTCCTGAGTAGACTTCTAATTTTCATTACGCCTTAATTAACATTCATTGAAAATATAAATAGAATTGGGCGGTCACACCATGTGAAGCTGCTACCACGCACGGATGCGACTGTGTCTTCATTGATAGCTTATGCAGCACAAAACATACTGATCACAAGAGCTTAAACCATTATCATAAATGTAGAATAAAACATTATTGCGTTACACAAAGCTGAACAAAAACTGACATAACATGACAAAAAAGAGGTTTATCTTCCATTATTTGTGCATAGACACTGCAATCTTTGGTCACAGCATCCCAAAGACAAAGAGGAACTAAGATGGCTCAGCATTGCCTAACTTTAATTATATTAAAGCATGCCAGACAGCTGTTTTTGGACGTATAAAAATCAACTGACAGTGCATCACAGTGTAACCAGACCTCTCGGCTCCCCTTTCCAGCACTAGGCTGTTCGTAAAGGTGAAAATGTAGTTGTGCTTTGGAAAATAATTTGAACATGAGGTAAAGATGATAACTGAATGCAACACACCAAGCTTAATCATTCAAAGGCAGCTGTCTGGTTTATAATGCAGTAAATTGAGACATATCTCTCACCTCAGTATATGGGGTGTGAAGTTGTCTTACAGCTGAGTATTCCTCATATCTGTGGTTGTCAGGATGCTATTTTATCTTAGCATCACAACTGCAAACTTTTGAAAATATGAATACTGATGAAACTCTTCTAGTTTTAGACTAAACAGAAATTATTAAACTTCAGGACTGAGGTGTGTTCGACAACATCAACTAAACAGAACTTACACATTCTTTAATTTCTAAACCAGCTGAAGGCGTGTGAGGAAACGATCTTAGATCAGATTATTACCTTCCAAATTATTAGTAATACAATGACTGATCGGAATAAATTACTGCATTTCCACATTTGTTGATTGGAATCACTGCCATAAACACTGTCAGTCAATACTTGAGCAAGCACTACTTCATCTCTTTAGAGTTCTTGAATGCACCCCAGTCCATTAGTGTGCTGATACCCTGCTGCATAGTGTGTGTGTGTGTGTGTGTGTGTGTGTGTGTGTGTGTGAGAGAAAGAGAGACTGTTCTTGAATGAGATATCAGCCTGAAAGACAGACAAACATACAGATTGACAGCTTCAGTACAGCTGACCATTCACTTGCTGCAGCACGATCACCATAAATTCTCTCAGCGTCTGTCAACAATACAGAAAAACATGGTTAGTCTGGGAGTTTACAGTGTTTATCTAAGCCTGTGTAGGTGATTGACTGAAAAACTGAAGCTTGTCGCTTGTGTAGTGATCAGGGGGCTGTTTCATAAAACTAGTTTACCAAATAAGCCAGGCTTATTTCAGTTATTCTGACTTATTGTCACTTGATTTGGTTTCCGAAAGCAAAATTACCATAGCTCAAGCTCAGTCAGTCACTGTGGCAACTTATGCTGGGAAACTAACCTGGTCCGAGGCAGGCTAACTGTCAGGCTAAGCTGAGCTCCTCTAACACTGACCAATAGGAACGCATTGATATTACCACTTATTTTCACTTGATTGGGTTTCATAAAGCAAAATTACCATAGTTCAAGCTCAGTCGCTCTGGCAACTTATGCTGGGAAACTAACCCAGGCTAACTGTCTGGCTAAGCTGAGCTCCTCTAACACTGACCAGTAGGAACGTATTGATATCACCACTGCAATGATTTTCTCACATACAATTAGCTGACTTTATTATTAGTCCAAAAATAAAAGTATACAGAAAATGCAACTTAAATAATCAAATAAATAAAAATATAGGCTACAATTAACTATTTCATGTATTGTGCCCAAAATGCAATGACCTTTTTTTTTTAATAGATACGAAAACATTTTAACACAGTTGCTACTTGCGCATTCAGTTGATCAGCAGTTTCTAGCCATGCAGCCTTTCTCTCTGATTTTATGACAGCTGTGCCTTTTATGGTTATTAATAGAACATTAAAACATGACAATCTAAAATTGCTCTTTAAAGCATTAAAGCATTAAAATGAAAATAAATAATAGAAATTAGACTACATTTTAACTGATAAGAGGAACACATTTAACTCGTTTGAGCTAGTAGGGCTGTATTAGCCAGCTTACATTTGATTTACAGTTACTCCTATCCTAAAAATACACTTATATGTAGGATTAAAATTCTGCTCGTCACATTTAATGTCCAACAACAAATATTTTAGCAGAATGTATATTTATTCAGAATTATTGCGCTATTATTCTATTCTGCTCCGTCTGTGTAGCGCACAAGCGTGCAGCAGTGCTCGTTCGCTCGCGTAAGCCTCGCCCACTCTTGACAGCAAAACAGATATATTTGCATGACTTTCTAACATTTACAGAAGAAAAATATACCTGTGACGTGTTAGTTATGCACTGAGAAAAACACAGTGTCTCAAATGCATTAAACGGCACAAATATTCGCTGTTTGTCATGGTGGATCGTTTTGATCCATGATCGACATGAAGGGCTGCATAAGAATAAGCATGCACATCAAATTATCCTGACTCATTGAACTTGGATCGAATTAGTGAGATTGCGTGAACTTAAATTGTCGTTTATGAAACCGCTGTAGTCCCGATTAATTTGTTAGGTTATTTCAAGTCAGGTTTTGGACTTTAATCCCCGCTTTTCTTAGCGTCTTTAATGAAACAGCCCCCAGGTTGTCTACATTGGTTTGAGTTGTCTACATTGGTTTGAGTAGAGTGTTATTAACGGTTTTATGGCACGTTTTGCATCTTTAATGCATTTCCAGGTTGCTTTGTCTAATTGGTATGAGCACATACTTTGTGTTTTTGGCGAGGGGCATTTACACTTGAATATTTCATGCATTTTTCCTGTTAAGCAAAATAGCAATCCGCTATGTGATAAAATAAAAAAAATAAAAAAAAGTGTGTAAATGTCCTCTAAAACAGTGGTTCTCAACCAGGGCACTTAGCAAACTTAAAACTTGCAAAAAGTCTTACTAATGATTTAAAATTAGACTAAACAAACTTTAAAATGAGCTAAAACAACTGCAAGAACAAAAAATTCTCATTTTAATTTACCTCAACTATTTTTTCTTCGAAAAGCCAGGGTTCCCATGGTCTGGAAAAACCTAGATAGCCTAATTTTAAATGTGATTTCTAGATTTGGAAAAGTCTAGTTAATTAATTAAATATTAAAAAATGTTTAATGAATATACATTATTTTCTAGTTTTCAAACTCTAAAATATTTGATCAGGTAGAAGCTGAGTAAAAACTATTTTTAAAAATCCTTCTGAATCCTTATCCAGTAAATCACAAACAACTGGAAAACTCATGGGGCCTTTACATATTGTTGTGGACCCTTATGTTAAAAAAGCTGAGAACTGCAACTCGTTGTTCATGTAATAATTCAGCTATTAACAAGCCTTAAAGGAATAGTTCACCTAAAAATTAAAATGTTGTCATCATTTACTTACCTCCATGTTGTTCCAAACCTGTATAAGTTTCTTTCTTAAGTTGAACACAACAGAAGATATTTTGAAAAATGCTGATGAACCAAAAAGTTGTTCGTTCCCATTGACTTCCAGAGTAGGGAAAGAAATACTATGGAAGTCAATGGGGACCATCAATTGTTTGATTACCAGCATTGTTCATAATATCTTTTTATGTTCAACATAAGAAAAAAACTCAAACAGGTTTGAAATGACATGAGTGAGCAAATTATGACAATTTTCATTTTTGGGTGAACTATTCCTTTAAACGTGTGAGCATGTATGTGTATGTGCTACCTGGGGCTTGCAGTGTTCCTCGATCCAGCTGAAGACGCAGGCAGAGAGCTCCTGAAAGCTGTTGACTGACACTGAGGCACTGAAGGACTGGAACAGAGAGTCCATGATGCTCTGAAACACACTGAACTTCACCTGATCTGAAACCTGCTCGCTGCCCTGCTGAGGGTTATTCTGATGGGCCTTCACAATGTGCTCATAGTTCCTGAAACAAACCATTAGAGACACATTAGTATCTCAGACGTTTCTTCCTCCCTCCCTGTTATAGGTCTTAGAGGGTGTTATCTTTCTTGGCAGAAGAGTGACAGTGTCAGATAAAGCCGAAAAACAACCCTGCCGGAGAATAAGTGGAACTACATTTGTCTGCTTAAACAGTTAAAAATGTCCCAGCCCCCTGTAAATAAACCCCCACTCACGTTTTCATAATTTTCAGCGCCATCACCTCCTTCCTAAGTGTGGAAACATCCTCTTCCTGCTTCTTCTTTTCTTTGTGGAGAAACTGAATGTAGTCGATTGCTGCAAACACACACACACAAGCTGCTGAGCTTTTCCATTCCAGAGTGGAAGACATGTGACAAGGAAATATAAATAGATAATGAAGGTTCTCACTCTTCTGCAGGACTGTAGCTTTACTCATCTTCTGTGTGGCCATGACAAAGTCAGACTGCTGCTGGCATGTAGGCACTATAGACTGCAGGTCATCATAGCCTTTCTGTGGGACAGAGATCCGTACAGACACATTTGAGTGACAGAAGTAGAACGCTAGGAACAAGGCACTGTGTTCTTTTACACACGAGCAGCTCACAATCCAGTGTTTTCAGGATCTCAAAGCGGGTCTGTTCACAGTAAATTCTGCTCCACATGAACTCATCTCTGCATGTTTTGGGTTGCTTGTACCATGTATTTGGGAACACAACATGCGCTGATCATCTTCCCAAATTTGTAATGAAAAGCACTTACAAACCAGCTGTTGTCAACAGAAGAGAAGATTTAAAGGGTCGCTGTGTAATTTTTTCCACCAAAATGAAAGCTTGATGGATTATTATTATTATTGCCATATTTCTATATAATCACAAAGTGTTTGGCCATATTGAGCAGCCCTACAAACAAGCACAGCACCTCGAGCTTTAAAAACATTTGTAATTGTAAACAATTTACAATTTTTATCAGGGAATGAAGTAATAAAACAAAAATAGTTTTGCAAATTGTGCAGACCTATGCTTACAAAATCAGTATTTCTATTTGGCAAAAATGCCCCCCTCCCCCCTTTAATTAATTACTTAAGTCAAGTAATTACTTTGCTTTTATGATCGATTATTGCCGTCACTTCCAAGTACTTAGGTGCCCTTGTGCTTATGTAAGCTACTATATTTTCTGTCTTTGTTTTCCCTAAACCAATTTGCTCTTCTCACTCTTACCTTGATGGCATCTCTGCGTTTCTGCTCTGCCTGTGTGTGTGCCTGTCTCCTCCGGTCTTTATACGACTCCTTATAGGGCGTCTCATGTCTGTTATCACTGTCTTCATCATCTAAACCAAAGGGAAGAACCGTATGTTAGCACACTGTATCTTGATGTCTGTCTTTAAAGTTGCAGAAATCAACATGTTTTCTTTTATATTGTGACGTACAGTGTCAGAGTGTAACGTAATTGAAAAAGAAAACAATATAGGCCATGAACTTGGTTCTTTGCATCAGAGGGAGCAGGGAAGAGTCTTGCATACAGTATGTATACAAGGATTTAATTGTTCACAATTAGATCTAACACATGCATTTAAAAAAAAAAGATTTTAGTATTTCATGGCAGTGAAACGATGACCATTTTAGAGCAACGGTTATAAAATAATGGCCATTTTTGATATTAGATGATTGAGGTATTACCTGTGTTTGGTACAGAAGAGGCACTTGTGGATCCGATGCTGTTGGCTCTTGACACCAAACTTCCTTTGTGAGCATTCTCGGCAAAAAAACCTAATGATATAGAAATGTATATAAGTATAAACGTATACACTAGTGTTCATTTTTGGTTACTTCAACATTTGACAGCACAAAGTAGTTTCAGTTTGTCAAGTCCAGCCTATGGGTTCATTATATTTTTATAACGGCATGTCTAACCTTCATCTTGGTATATAAGCTGGAGAAAAAACACATTAGTTGAGACTTATCAAGTAATATTTTATAGCTCTGGTACTCACTGTGATCGAAGCCGTTGTCACTGAAGGCGCCGTCCGTCTGCTGAGACATGATGGTGAGACGGGTGATATAAAAAGACAAACAGAAGAACAGTCAAAGCCAGCCAGACTAAAGATTCAGAGACCAGCCAACTGATGATCACATATGCAAACAGAGCCTGACCCGTCCTGCCTTACCTTTATCTAGGACACCTCTAAGTCCCCACTGTGATGTGTCCCAAATAACCCCTTTAAAGGGTGACATTTAATCTACATGTATAATGCGTCTCCAAACTCTCAGATTGAGCAATCTCCTCATCATTACAGTCGGTGCAATTGAGGGCACATTTTATTCGCTGCATATGAATACGGCAGGAAGTTATAATGCATTGGAACCGCAGCATAAATATAGTGAAGGCACAAACAAAGAGAACTAGTGAGCTTTATTTTGCGGTCTTGACAGTATTTTGGCGCATCATCTGTCGCTTGAATCGAATCCCGCTCTCTGGGGAGTCGATTCGCTCGTTCGAACGCGCCTTCCATGCCCAAAAATTCTGTCTAGTGGCAATTTAAATACGTTTCGAAACACAGCCAATGTAGCGATCAAACAAGTTAGCTTAGCGGATTCAACTCTTACACATCTGTTATAGCTTCCATTCTAACATTTACAACATATATAGTCCGTTTAAGCGCAGAACCGTTTTCGGACGCGTTTCTGTAGTAATTTGTTGTCTAAATCACCACTAAATACACTGCATTTTGAAACCACGATAATGTGGGAAGCAGGGTAATTGTTCTTTTGACTTGCTGAACTTTACGACTAACGTTAGCCAGCTGAGCTAGAGTGAAACCAACCGCTGCAGACCTACACAGATAAACAGAAACACACTTCACGAGGGCGATTTGGGAGGATATGGCTGTTTAAAATCAACGGACCGTCTTTATCTGAATATGTTTCCTTACTTTGAGCCAGGGATCCTCCGGCGACGCGCTGTTTTCCGTCATTTTGGAATAAACAATGACTGGATGTTACGAGCTGCGCCCTCTATTGGCCATGATCTGGTCGGACCTCTAGAGACTCATCCTCCACTCTGTCGTTCTCTCGTTCTCCTGACTACTGACGGCTATGATTTCCGATTAACTCTAGTTCATTAATATATTGATCTATTCGTTCATCCATTTCGTTTTTTGATTTACTCATTGCATTGACTGTATTATATTATATTTTATTGTAGCCTATAGCTACACATATACCTTACATTGATCAAATATAAACATCAGTGTGTGGTCATTTATTCCACATGGTGGTGCTCTAAGAGTTTATCATACATCAAACTGAGAGTTAAAGCTCATACCACATAGTATCTATCTATCTATCTATCTATCATCTATCTATCATCTATCATCTATCTATCTATCTATCTATCTATCTATCTATCTATTTATCTATCTATCATCTATCTATCTTGGCTTTGAAAAAGCTATAGAACCTTTATGCTGTTATTGCCGGAGGGGAAAAATAAATAAATAAAATAATTCTGTTCTTTAATTAGCGTATTATCGTATTTATAGCGTATTATAAATTTAAGCCGTAACATATTTACGACCAGCAGAACACAACAGTAAATCATAAATTAAACCAATGATAAATATTTAATCAATTAAAATACAATAAAATAAAAACAATCGGTAATATACAATATTAAGCAAATGTGATAATCTGTCAAATAAAAAATATAAAAAAGTCAAATAAAAATGCCAGTGTGGTTTTATTGTGTTCAGTTGTTTACCCAACAGCTATTACAAAGGTAACACTTTACAGTAAGGTCCCATTAGCTATGGTAGTTAATGCATTAACTAACATTAACTATCAATCTGAAATATATTTGTTATAGTATTTATCAATAAATTTATTGGTTAATGAAAACACAACTGTTCTTGTTAGCTCAGGTCCATTAAATAATATATTCACTTTTTGTTTTTATTTATGTATTAGTAAATGTTGAAATTAATGTTGAAATTAACTGAGACTTATAAATGCTTTAGGCCAAAAAAAAAAATGATATTAGGACAGAATTGGAAAAAATGAGAAAACAAGTAGCCTTGTGACAACAAGCCCTGATCAACAGCATCAGTGTCGTAACATACATACAGTACATAATATGCACATGAGTGGTGTGATATGTTTAGATCATCATATTTTTTAAATACAAACAGAACTTAAACCGACACACCCAGCGGGCTCTCTCTCTCTAGTGCGAGGTATACAGGAAGCGTGGATGCTTCTGCTTTTTTCTGTGGTTTCTTCCTGCTGTCACAACTGCTTCTCTCTCATTTCTGTAACACACAGCAGTGTGCTCGGACAGGTGCCTTCATGTCAATTTGCCAACATCTGTATATTCTTCTGGAAGAAACTTCTGCAGGCTTGATCAGTGGGGCTGGACATAAAGGAAGATGCTCCAACATCTGAAGCACTCACATGAGAGGCAGACAACTGGAGTAAAGGCCTGTTGCGCTGGTAATCAACACACTCAGCCGCACTGAGAGGCTGAAGAGCTGTACTTTCAAAGGACCTCTATTGTCTTTATTGTGAAAGTATAAACAGAGGCTTTTCTTCTTCCTTTTTTTGACTAAGCAAAGGTGAAAGTTCTTTTTACCCTTCATTTTGAAATCGGAGGAATTTTCTGATTGTGAGTTTGATTTTAAGTTCTCATCCTCATTGAGAGCTTCTTCACAATCACTTGAACCATCCTGGACACCGTTTTTGGTTTGAAAGGTATCCATGCTCTCTGACAGCATGTGCTAAAAAGACTCCATGTGCTTCCACCTACACTGGATCTGAGTGACTACAAAACTTCAAACAGTGGATTTTTACCTGTGGATTGCAGAGAGGTTTGTCTGGGTTCCTCCAGAGTTTGGACTTTTGGAATTGTTAGTGGTTGATCCAGAAAGAGTTCAGTATCCTGGAATTCCTAAGGAAAGTTGTGATGGGTAACGCAGCCGGCGGGTTGGAGCAGGTGGATGGGCCGGAGGCCAAAGGCTCAACAGGAGGGTCAAACACTGCTCCCTCCACACCCAAAAAGAAATGTGCCCCTGTGAAACTACCCATGCCTCCTGAGGAAGAGCTCGAAGAACGCTTCAGTGTGGTTTTGGTGAGTTCTTTATACACAGACATTACTTATCAACACAGCAAAAGCAGCTAATCTTGATACTTCCTGTTCTGATAAAAACAACAGCCATGTTAGGAACTACAACAGTATTAGATTCTCTGTCTTTGCATTTTGGAAACATAAATATTAGCTGTAGAAAAAAAAAACACAGGAACTTCTTGTATTCTTGACGCATAGACAGTGATAATCTAAAAAGAAAATCAAATACAATATGAACATTTCAAAGCAAATGCAGTCTTCCACCTGAAATGCAAAATGAAGTAACATTTGGAAAAACACTTCTGACTTAATACAATCTGATTACTGTCACTTTAGTTCCACATGGGCTTTTGGTATAGGAAATGGCAGTGGCGGGATGACAAATTAGGCAACTTTTGAAGAGAAGTCATAAGATAAAAAGAGGTCCTGTATTCTCGGTGACGACTGACCTTTGTTTCGTCTTTCGCTTCGTTGCAAGACAACACTGTCAGTTGGTTATACTCCTAGATATGCCATCCCTTTTGTTGAGCAATGTGTTGAATCCTTTAACTGATTCCTAATGGAAGCTCAGTTATCTTCCATTTGGTTTCCATCTCAGAATAGACATTGTGACTTCTCATAAATGTGACTTAAATCTCACAGTATGATTTTGTTTCTTGTTTTTAACTTCTCGAAATAACATTAGAATTTTACCAAAGTTAAAAAAAGCACTTCCATATAACAAATGGCCATTTGATCTTTCTGAGCATACTCTTATTGGTCAATGCACAGGGGGGCACAACCAGACTGTCTCGGGCCCTGTGAGGAGTTGGACCCACTAAAGTCATCTTTACAATGCTGTAAAGTACTGTATGAAGGAGTTTGGGACAATCCCTGCAATTTTGTCCTTGAGCCCATAAATTCAAGTAACTACTACCCTGATTAGATTACTATTGTGTGCTAATGGATATATGCATTACATGGTCACACTTCAGAGTGATGTCCTCATTACAGGCTACTGCCATAAGCCCTGAACTGTGCTTTATATATAATATTAACTTAATCTAGTCTCCACTTTATTCACTTGAACCAGTAGACCACAGTTAGTCCCCCACCCACCCCGCTCTCGCTGTTCCTCCAGTAACCGCTCAATGTGTTTCTAAATGTGCTTTCGCTCTTTATGCACACAACCTTAAAAGAAATAACCATGCTCAGAGCGGAAACGTCTTAGTGCTTTAGGAGGAAACACCCAAGATCATAGCGTTTCTACACTAAACTTTACACCTATTTTTTTTTACAAACCACACCCTCTTAATTTGGTTGAAAGGTGCAATTCCAGATCTGGTGTGAAAGTGCAAAACATAAAGCTAATAATGATGAATTTTTATGTGTTTAAGTGCAAGACATGTAGCAACTTAGCCTCCGTGCCATGTTTTCAGGAAGTCACATTGTGTCAGACTGATGACTGACACAGCATATGATCTTAAGTAGATAACCTTAAGGGAAACATAATATGTACATAATATAATAATTTACTCAAAAATGAAAATTGCGTCATCATTTACTCACCCTCATGCCATATCAAACCTGTATGACTTCTGTGAAACAACAGTGGACCCCATAGACTTTTATCGAGACCGTTTTTCAAATTTCCACAAAAGTCATGCATGCAGGTTTAAAATTAAATGAAGCGAAATAGTCGCCTAAATGGTGACTGGATTTTCATTTTTGCCTGAATTATGCCTTTAACCCTTTAACTGTCACCCCCATTTTTGGACATAGAAATGAAAGTGCACAAACTTAAATTGTTATAATTCATGAACGAAAACATTTTGTAATATGATTTTGATGTACCATTTCTATGGTAATGCAATGTCTGATTTTAAAATGGCTTTCACAGGATGAATTTAGAAATTTTAAGCTTTCAATTGATATATACTTTATGATGATTTCTAAAACGTAATAGGGAAAAAGGCAACGAAAAAAGACTTTTTGTGACAAAGGTCAGAACTCCTTTTATGATGTAGATTTTTTTAAGGGTGGACTCTTGTCATAAATTAATCTATTACTGTTCCTACATAATTTATAACAAAAAACTGGTAAAATATCTATTTAGAAGTCTTGGAGTTTTCCAACGATATATAGTAGATTAGGATTTAATTATAATATAGTGAAGTAAACTGAAGGGGACAGGTGACTGTTAAGAGGTTAACAATCTGAAGTAAGCAAAAGAAGGAACAATAATTGCGTCATAACACATTTTGTAATGTAGACATTTCCTTCTCTACGTCTGTTCCACCAACGTCTTGCATCAGATATAAATGGTGATTATCAATATTACAAATTCATCAAGTAAATGGCAAATCAGATGTTATTTGAAACTGAGGAAAGACTGCAGCATACACACGTTAACGCCAGTCTCTTTCATAAACCATATACTCAGACTTTCCCATGCTATACTCCAGGATTATACTCCACAAACCAATTAGTATTGTAACACTGACAAACTTCTCTTCTTTTTCTTAAACTGTTTAAGCCTGGTTCTGGGTTACATACCACTGGCGGCAACTTTTTTGATATCCAGTATTATAGATGGAATCCGTCTATTGAAATCCAGCACTTTGTGATGGATATGCATTGTGCACATCAACCAATAGGAATAGCAATATGTTTACTAATAAGTGTATTAACATTGATACTGCAGTAATTTGAATCCATGAGTCTGCGAGCATGTTTGTACTGTACAGTTCTGCTAGAAAGGATTTCACCTGATCTCCAGGTTACTGTGATGAACCTCTAATTTCTCTTCTCAGAGCTCCATGAATCTGCCTCCTGACAAGATGAAGCTTCTGAGTCAGTATGACAATGAGAAGAAATGGGAGCTGGTCTGCGATCAGGTGAGTCGCTCAACTTCAACATTATGCGTTTTAAATAATGGCAGCTAAGTAGAACTGAGAGCATCTTGATTGTTTCTACTTCTCATTTAGAGAGTGAGACATTACTCGTATTGAAATACGTAATGAATTAGTCATATTGAAATGCGTAAGGCATTGCATTTTTGAGCAGTTTTCTCTGTGTATTACCATAATACTTCATGTCTGCAGTGTAGGTGTGACCTTTGAGTGGAAGCTATCTGGTAGACTACATTTAGACACACCAGAAGCATAAAAGAGATCTTTACACTGTGACACAAATACAAAAACCAAACTTATACAAGTTATATGAGGACTGTAACCAGGTCTCAAGCAACTGTAACCAATTTCTATAAGAGCCTGAAAGATTAAAAGTAAAAACAGCATTTGATTCATCACTCCATTCATACATATGTCAAGAGAAAATGTTAAAGTTTTTCAAATGTCTCTAGTGTTGATTAAAAAATGTTGTTTCTTGTTCTATGCTGACAATATAATTAAAGGGGTCATATGATGCTGCTAAAAAGAACATTATTTTGTGTATTTGGTGTAATTAAATGTGTTTATGCGGTTTAAAGTTCAAAAAACACATTATTTTCCACATA